ATAATATTATTATTATTTAAAAATTTATAAAATGAATTTTAAATATCAAGTCATTATATTAAAAATAAAATAATTTCTGATAGCTGTATAATGTTCAATACAACATCTTTAATTCCCGAATATTTAATTAAAAATAATAACAGTCATGTTTTAAAATAAATATTTATTTTAAATCATCATCAAATATTAAATTAAATGCTATAGAAGTCGATATATAGGGAATAATTTGATATATGTACAGGTTAAAAAAATTTTCATTTTTCGAGTAATAGGTCTAAAAATGTATAATTTATCGTTTCTTTAAATAACTTTAATGTTTTAAAAGTAAATAATTATATTTTTCTTAAATTTAAAAAGTAAATTTCTTAGTAAATTAATAATTTATTTTTAAAAGTAAGCGAAAAAACCTTAATGAGTGATGAAAACTGAATACTTTTCAGTTATACATATACCTGTACACTAATACAAATATAATTTTTACTATTTACATATTGAATAAATAATACTGAAATAAGCTTTATAGGTAAATATTTATATTTTTCTTAAATTTTGAAATTAATAAAGTAATAATTTCTCCTGAAAACTAAATGGAAAATCCTTAAACGGGTGATAAAAAATAATTGCATCTCACTTGCATATATACATTAAAATTTAAAAAAATATATGTTTTATTAATTATATTAAATTTATTTAATAATTTGATAAACGATTTAAGTAAATAAGTATATTTTTCTTGAATTTCCTAATTAATTCATAAGTTATCCTTAGAAATAAGTAGAGAAACTTGAATGAATGGTGAGAATTAAATACTTCTCACTTCTAGCGAAACTGACAGGCAATCATTTACGTCATTTCAATGTTTTTAATGCACAATAGCAGCATGAAAATTGTCTCTTTTGAAAATTGTATACCTCAATTTATCATGTTTAAAGTTAGAAATGATGCAAGTCGCATGGAAAACGTTGAAAATACTCAATTTTTATCGTATGGTGTTTTTTAATGTCAACAGTTAACTACTAACATGAAAGTTAATAATTTATAAAGCAGTATTTTTTTAATGTTAATGTTAATTATAATTAAATCTTTCTTTAAAAAATACGTTCTTTTAAATTTTTATTGTAATTTTGTCGATGGGATAACGAATTTCAATAACCGTAACTTATCGAATATTAATGGAAAAATAGGATATTTTAGAAACAGCTTGATATTGATAATCGAAGCATTTTGTATAGAAAAGATAAAAAGCTAATGTTCTTAAACGGTAAAGTATTATTTTTAAATACATAAATTATTAATAAATTTTATGATTTCACACACATATATTCCTTATACAATATTTTTATTGTTTATGTAAAAATAATAAGTTAAAAATTAATTTATATAGAATATTTTCAGTCCTTTAACATCTTAAAAATCTTTTTAGACATATATCTTTAAAGTATAATTGATTTATTTTCAGTGTAAGATGTAAAAATATATATTATATTAAGGAATACGTTAATATATGATTATTTAAAAAATAAATTTATTTTGAACAGGTAGAAACAATTGTGCTGTTTGTAGTACTGGAAACAACCGCTAGATGTCTATAAATTTATTAACGTCACAACAACCAGTCAAGTAGGTAACTTAGCTGAACGACACAACACATGAAATACATAAAGAGTGGAGTTGCATATCGGTTCATTAATGTCCGAACTGTGGTCACAACTCGTGCACTATGACCAGAGAAGGCAATCAACAGTCTAATGCCTATTTTGCTCTGGCCATCGTGCTCTTGATGATATTATGTGTTGGATTATTAGTTGCAGTTATGAAAGGTTCTCTCAACCATGAATTATCAGCAGCAGCAAGTCGAAGATCGCGTAATAACAAAACACAAACCGTTAACCGGCCAACAATTTTACAGGATACTTTAGTAGCCGATAATGCAACTACCGAGATATTCGTTACAGAAATTCTTACCGAAGCAACTACTACAGTTACCGAAACTCCTGATTGGCATAACAGTAGATTACCAGAAACGGTGTTGCCCGTTCATTATGATCTCACCCTTTGGCCTAATGTGACCTTAAATAAGTTCACTGGCCGTGTTGTTATCACTACTAGATTTGCGGAAGCTACTGATATATTAATTTTACACGCTGTGATGTTAAACATAACTGAAGTTGTATTAACTCGAGCTTCTGACTGGACCGAAGTAAAAGTCATTGAAAGTTTCAGTTATCTTCCTAATGAATATTGGGTGTTAAGAATGGATAAGATTTTACTACCTGACACTTACAGGCTGCATTTTCGTTACGAAGGAAATCTTTCTGAAGATTTAATTGGTTTATACCGAAGTTCCTATAGTAATTCTTTAACTTCAAAAACAAGGTAAGTGTGGCATTAGTTAAGTTCCTAAAACAACTTCAAGGTATGTTGCATTGCATATTAATGAACGTTTTTAGAATATCTTGACTTCAATTATTGTTCTTAATTAGAACTTTTTATTATTTCCGCCGTTATTTTAAGCTAAGTGTTTCCTCCTTTAAATATAGTTTATCCTTATTAAAACTCTTAATATTTTAAATTATTTCTGGAATTATATTAAAGTAGCATCTTGAATGAATGAATTCTCTCGATGTAACATACGTAAGTGTAGCGTAATGTTAACAACTAAATTGTTAATTCCTGATACCTTATAAATAATTAACACCTTACAAATGAAAAGTTTCTATGCATTTTTTAAAAATATTTTTATTGTAAATTAATCTATAACAAGTATATATATAAATACACCGTATATAAAGTTAATTAAAGTTTTATTTTATGCTCTATATCTTATGTTTAGATAAGATTTTTATCCAGTAATTTTAGACTGTTATATTTTGAGGTAATTTTAGTTGCTAAACAATTTACGTTAACGATATGAATTAACATAGATGCTATTTAAAGAACAATAGTTATCATCGCGAGTTACGTAGCGCTGATTTAACAAGGTAAATTTAAATATAAAAATTATAAGTTTCAATCAAAAAATATAAATTGTTCTTATAAATTAATTATCTAAAATATTTTAAGTATTAAATTTCACTATACTGATCTCTTTTATTTAGAAAAAAATATTAAATATTAAAGTAGATTTTATAGAATTTTATTATAAATTTATTTCTTATTTAATTATAATTAAAT